TGGGTGTATAAAGCTACTACACGACCAACGACTATGCGTTTAAGTTGACTTTAGCATTTTGTGCAGCCTTAGTTGTGTTGGTTTATTTGCACAATATCAGGGCCATCAATCCAAACTAACAGCAGGTGTTGTAGACACACTCCTTGCGTTAGCTTTTGGTTCTACCTGAACTTTTGCACTTTCTTGCTTGTCGAGAACGTGTTTATGTTGTTTTCTTTGGAGTTGCATGAACGAAAACTCAATAATCTGGCAAGACCTGATATTATGTAGGGCTTAATTTTTGCCACGAAAAGGACTTAGATTCCTATAACATTTCCTTCAATCCACAATATGGTCTTGACATCCTACGTTACTTCTAATATAGAACACATTAAGAATGTAGGTAGGTAGTTTTTCTAATCTCTGCCCATATATACTTGTATTCAAGCTGTGGATGGATATATTATAGCAAATATTTTGATCCATGAAAGAACATTAAAATGGATTCCTATGACAAACCAGAATAGGGGTAGCTTTGTAGACTTTTTCCACTGAATCATTTTCACCGAAAGAGTGAAAACAGTTTATTGTGTTGTTCAATACACAAACTTACATAACTTTGCATAAAGTTCGATCGCATTGGTCTATTTTGTTGGATTAATTCCCAGGTGACTGCTCTAATGGAAAGTTGGCCACGTTACAGTATGTAATGGGTTTTAATGTTTACTACGTCAGTCGAATTTTTTTTCTATTTTTTTGTTTAGTCGGGGTAAGCATTGACGACTGGTTTCTATTGGCAACAATCATTTGAGAGACTTATATCAGTCCTTCTTCGATTTGAGCTTCTTCTTCGAAGAAGATTTTTCTTACAGTGATTCTTCAACGTAAATATCTTTGTAAGTGCAGTCAAGTTGCTAAGATTTTTCCTGTTCTCGTTGGAATATATTTTGTAGTGAATAATAATCCTTCGAAATCGAAATTTTGGATTTTTCTCTGTTGAATGAAAGAATTTTTGAATTGAAATTCAAAACTATGTGGCCAAGCGCATCAAAAGCTTAATAGCCGATGCCCATTGTGTGCTTTAGGTTTATGTCCAATAATTAAAGTTAAAAATGGAGGCCTGCAAATAACCGAAAAAGTCAAGAGTCCAAACTGTTGTTACCGTCAAAATGTGAGTGAAATTTTGTTTACAAAGACATCGGAATCTTTGGTGTAAATATGGATGAAATGTTTTGTGATATTTAAGTATTTTCTGGAGGGGATAGGTAGTTAGAATTCACCCCGTAAGTGAATATCAATTTTTCATATTCATGTATGTTTCTCGTTGCTCTCTTTTCACGGGTTTCTTTTCGTTTCATTTGTCGTCTCATTCCAATTGTTTACATCAGAAATGTTGTTTACAATGTACATATATTAATTACATTTAAATTTGTTTTTTCTTATTTTCAATTTTCTTGTTTTTTTTTTTCGTATATTTATTTATTTTTTTAATTCTCTTTGTTTTGTGTTGTGTCTTGTGTTTTCGCTTGAAGCTGTAAAGAGTTGTCTATAATTTCATAATTAAATATGTTTCCGTAATATGTATGCAGTGTGCGTGTATTTAAGTGATTTTTCCCTATAGTTAAGAGTATTATTTCATGAATGAATCGTAAAAAGTAAGCTGCTTACCAAAGTGACGGCAGATGCGAGTCCTGTTGACAGTGATCAGTGAATGCATTGGCATGCCTTACATTACAATTTAATTAATTGCTTTTTTTATTCTTTTATTATTGTGTTTGGTTTCTATATTGTATTGCAATTTATATCTACTCAACGTCCTTGATTCATTCAATACATTTCCCAATTATATAATTACATTTTAGTTTTAAAAACATTAAAAAATATTTCATTACTTTCTCACGATTTCTTTAAAGAAACAAAAAGAAAAAAAAAAACAAAAACAAAATCATTCTTCAATATATTATAAAAACTTTTATTAATTCTTATTTTATTTTCATTTAATATTTTATTATTCACTCTGTATAGCGTTATATTTATATCACCCAGAAATAAACATCACCGAGATAATGAAAGTTATGTGTACTTTCGATTACTAGGAGATACTGAATCTTCATAGCTACGCTAGAAATCCTAAATTGATCGAATAAGTATATCGAGGTTGAAAAAGGGATACAAAGTAGCAAAAATACCCTAAAGGTTGTTTCAGCCAAAGTTGTCGCTTTAAAGTTTGCGCCATTTTGAAACCGTCAACGCACAACAATCATTGTGAGAAGTTTTGACGAGCAACAACCTCATTGTAACAAGAATCATTTCGTCGTACACAAGCAACAAAAATGATAGTTTGGTGCTCTTCTTGATTGGTGGCATAATTGGGCCATGTTCTTAAAACTTGTGCTGATTCCATCGTTAGGATGAATGGATATATCAAAGAACGATCTTAACTCACATAGTTTGGCCTGAAGTCGAACCTATGAATATTTAACTTCAACAGAACAACATCCACTTCCACACAGCTCGTGAAACAATGGCTCCGTTTAAAATTTTATTACTTCTTTCTATGCGCTAAGCTACGTGTGGAGCAAAACTATATTAACCCTCTGCGTATGTGTTTTCTATACTCAGAAGGACTTGAAATAGATTCAAGCTTCTCTGTTCGTCGAGTTTTTCAATCTATTGGTCACAATTTTTTTGAAATTTCTTTTATGAAGGTTGGTATCCTGGCTTGTGTTGTCCCAACGACGAATGCTATTGAAAATGGTTCCGATCGGATCGCTTTTTTGATCACCTGCCACATAAAACACCTCACTTTGTCCAGTCGTTCTATGTATAATTGTAAGGCGCTGCAGCATATTTAATGGCAGGCTAATGCCCACTATTGTGCATTTATTCGTTTACTTTGTTATTTTTTGTTTTAATTTTATATAAATTGAGTTAAAATGGCGCTCTCTGTGTTGCTCTTAAATTCATTTTGTTATATTAGATTTTACTCTTCTTGTTTTCCCTTTTTTTTCTTTGTGCATTTCGAATTTTATTTGCGCACACTCACATACATGAAGCTCTTATAATGTTTTTGATGCACAAACGGGGACTTTGAACACAAACCCGTTTTTTAAATAAAATAAAAAACGATTGCGAAATATTTATCTCACTGTTAAAAACACAATTACAAGTTTAAAGTTTTGCCTTGAACGACAATCTTGATGTTATTTTTCCTTTGCTTAGCATACGAAGCTGGAAAATAAAGTCGTTGCCTAAATTATCTCAGAATTGAGAAAAACTGATTATTATTTATGGTAAACGTATGGCTTCCATGAATTGTGAATCCGAATCTACGGTAAGGTCGACTGAGTAACGTGTACCTAAATAAGTACACCGAATATTAGTTGCTGAAGCAGTCTATTGCTTCGCTTGCTAACTGAAGGCACATAGAAACCAAATTTGATTCCCTTTAAATGTGTTCAAAGGCTCCTTTGCCACAGTCGAATCCAAGAAATGACGATGATTTCCACACTTGCCAAACAACGATCTGACTGGCTGCTGTGGGTTACTAAGTTTTAATTAGAGCCAGCAAAACGCCATAAACGTCTACAAAATAAGTTTGTCTTACAATAAAAGTGAAAATTAGAAGCCGTATCGTGGCTTTATGGTCATTCGCTGGTGCTAAGAGAAAACGAAGCGTAGGTTTCGTGATTTTAAAGTCTCTTCTATTCTTTAATAGGAATTGTATAGAAAATCACAGGTAAATAAATGCGTTGCAAGCTGTGCTCCGACTACTGGTGTAAGAATTTCGAACGTTTTTTAAAAGTAAATCCGCTCGTCGCACAATTTTCATGAATGAGATTGTACTGTTGGAGTTTTGTTTTGTTTACTGCCGTAAAATGCCGGTAAATGATGCATTATGTCTTTAACGAGTATAAAGATGGCAAAAAAAAAAAAAAAATTGCTGGCGACTTGCTCGTGAAATTTCATGTGATACTGACACATAAATGAGGGAATGTATTTTGCTAATACCATCTTCATCTATGCTCATGTGCCTAACCGCTCTTAATATTTCTAGGCAAATGCGCTTTATATGTGAATTCAAGCGAGATGCATATGTCGCACATCGACCTCTAAAACAATAAGAAATTGAAAAGTCTACGGAAAAATTTTAAAATTATATTTCGCCATAAAAACCGGAAATAAACTTTTGGAGTATCAAGGCTTTAATCCTTTGTTCGAGAAGAGATAGGTTCTACGAGTTTTTTTCAAGTTTCGACTCTCGGGTGGTATAAGGTCAGACTCGATTTTTAGACCGACTTTTAGGTTGATAAACAAAATCAGAGAATGTGTGTTAATTTAAAAATTATTTCATAACCATTTTTCATTCCATCCCCTCCATGAAAGTACGCTAAAGTACACTAAGTTTGCGTTCCTGTCTATATCCTGAAGAAGTTTGCTCCAGAACCTTTTGACATGTACAATATCATGAATTTTAGGTCGAATGCGTCCATTTATCCGCCACTCATGCTTAATGCCATGCCCTCGTCACGTTGGGATAAAAAGTTGAAATTGTAAATACAGCCTTGATCTGGCTTAGAAAGCACAAACTGCAGCGAAAAACTTAACCAATAAAAAGGAATTTTTTCAAAATTTCAATATACTTTTACCAACAACTGTACGTTTTTAGCTTATTAAAATTATGTGAAAGTGCAATGTGACAGTTCACTAAATTGGTCAAGTTTCACTTTCGCAATTTAGTAAAGAGAGTCCTTGTGAATACGGGCATAAAATATTCGCTCCCAGGCTAATATAAATCTTTTACTTTTTGCTACTGTTAAGCTTGACTTTATAATTTCATCTTATTTTGTTTTTTTTTTTTTTTTTTTAATTTTGTTTGATTTGAAATTTTATTTATATATTTAAGATTCCTCTTCATTTTCATTTAATGTTCCAATTAAACTTTTTACATAAGTGTGTTTAGCTTTAATTTGTAATCAATCAACTGTTGTTTTACTCTCTTTTTCTTATTTTTATTTTTATTTTTATTTTTTACTTTAACGTTCATTAAACTATCTGAGACCATAGAAATTGCTTATGTAGCTAATTAGATACATTATCGTATAGTTAATAAAACATGCATTTATAATTGTTGTTGTACGCTTAAAGTCTTTGGGTGCTGCAGATGATGCGAAGTACGATTCCAGAAAACTTGTGAAGCCGCCGCCAGACGAAGTCACTGAAAGAGAAACGCAAAAAAAAAAAGAAGAATATCCATTACAAGTAACCAAAGCAAGGAAATTATAATACTGCATAATACTGCTAACGTTATAGGGTTAATCGAAATCTTAAATTACAAAAAAATTCTTCCATTTTAATGGAATTTATTTAAATAAATGTTCAAATATAAGTAAATTTTTATAAACAAAAAGAGAAAAAAAAAAGAAAAATTACCACAATTGCCCTTTAACCGCAAAGTGCTAAAACAATTTGAAATGTAAACGCTTTTATCCCAAAAGAGTGAGAAACTTATACGCATACAGACTCTTATCGAGGGACACATGCAGAGCGAGCGCACAGAGAAACTTATTTTTATATGACTGCTGCACAAAATAAAGCAAAACAAAAATTATGTAAACTTTGGTTAAACACAGGTTTAAAAGTATTTTACTTTTATATACACATTCGCAGGCAACAAAGAACAGATGCAGGGGCATCCATCTCTTCTCACTGAAAGTGACATACGCACTACCTGCTGTCTTTTCGCATGTCTTCCATTATATTTGGAATGAGTCAAGCTATGCATAAAACTGGCAATATGATGCAATTCCGCTTTAGCCAACCAACAACCATCACAATAGCAACAACCAGAAGAACGAGTGTATGAAAACTTTATCAACTCTACGGAATACAATTTACAAAACTGAATGTGTTGGATTTGTTAGTTTACTCATCTCCTTGCAGGATTTTGTTTTCGTTTTTTTTTTTTTTTATTTCGTTTAGTTTTTTGTTTGTGTTCTATGGAGAGAAAAAATAAACTTACCTCTTGCCGTATGAATGTACAACCGGGCGCATGTTCGTGTGCGAGCATGTACATGATTACTGAAGGAGGGCAGACTAGCCTTAGTGTTCCGTTTGCGTGGCCAAGAGGAATATGTTAAAGAACTTAAGACTAAAATTTGATTCAACCATAGTCGTCCGTCCGCCGGACCACCATCCGTTTGTCTATGTACGGTTTTCTCAAAGTCATCCGCTGCAATCGGTTATATTTCATGGGAAAGTAGTGTACAACGCGAAGCAAGAACAATTTTTGATTCATTGTAACAAAGATAAAAAAAAGGTCTTTCGATACTTTGGGACGTTGATCGAGTGCGGAACTAAGCTAGGAAGGAATAAGTAAGTTTCCAAAGTCATTTCGAGCGTGTACTCTTCGTTGGTTCTACCAAAGTTCCGAATTTTTAGATGCAAACTTAAGATGAATCTTTCGCAGACTAAGCTTGAAAACGGAACAGGAACGGAACGTAAGCATCAACTGTTATTAATGCTTACTTGAGTGGCTCACGAGTGCGACCCGTATACTTAGCCAAAAAAAGAGCACAAGAAACTGTACTTTATTTATTGTGTTTTTAACATATATGTGCACCAGATAGGTGTAGGTCTAAACCGGGCATCAAAAATCATGAGATTCTAAATCCTTTCTACTCATGTTTTGGTTTATGCTCGACCTTCCAAATAGTTACATAAAAGTGCATAAAAATTTCAGAAAAAACATAAAAATTTGAATAGAAAACTGAAACTTGTTGTTGCTCTTCGGCCAAATATAAAAGATTTTAAGTTGGTTTAGTGCAAGTCTGTTAGTTGCTCTTCAAAAATGGTAAGAATCACGAAAGAGAACTGAAACGCAGTTTACATGTTTCTGTCATAATTGCAGAGATGATAATTGAAAATTAATCGACCGATCAAAGGAATAAAGGGAAAATAAAACAAAATCGCTTAGGTAATAAGTCATCAAAAGGATATTAATCCTATTAGAAAAAGATCCGCTTGCTTAAGCGGATTAAAAGAAATAAAAGAATCTCGATCCCCAGGGGTTGAATTTTACATAAAAGATCGGTTAGTAGTTATTGCGGATGAATTTTTAAGTTATTTTCAAATATGATTTTCTTAGCGGAGGGAGGAAAGTAGTCGCGAAGTTTCTTTTTCCAAGGTTTTAGAGCTAGCAAATTCAAGTGAAAGATAGACTAAGGGAGAGTCATTTGAATATTGAATTAAAATTTCGCATTTTTTCATTGGTACTTCTTCATCATTTGCAAGTTTTCATGCTTTTACATCATTTGAAGCCTGGTTAAAGCAGGAAAATGCTGCGACGCGTACGCGTACTTTCTACTCATTTTTAAAATAAGGTTTTTCGCCTTAATTTAAAGAATCCCGAAAAGATGAGCATTTGATGCAGCTCTGCGTAAAATGAGAGACGAAGTAATAAAATCGGGTAAGCTCTCAAAAGACGAGTATGTAGTAATCACTGCAAGCCCGTGTTCCCGAACTCAAACTTCAAATGGGGCAGAGCGCTCAGTCAGTAAGTCCATAATACTTATCAACATCCATTAGGCTGTGACCACCACCTCCCTATTTCTTTCTTTTTCCTCGATTCATTCTTATCGTCGCTATGGTACACGAATAGGGGAGTTGCTTGTCATGCTAACAAGAAAAAAAAAAATTAATTACTTTTTTTAACAGAAAAGAAATCAGTCCGAAAATATGATTTACATTTTGATTTTTTCTTTTCCGACAGGGTCGTACGCACTTGCAAATTTACTTTCATAACAACTCCACTGTTCATGGGTTATATGCTTTTGTTAATAGCATATGGTGGATAGCTAAACCGTTAGCTAGTATCAACAGAAAGACAACGAGCTTAATCGCAGTAAAACTGCGCAATTTTCCGATGTTTATTTAAGGTAGATGACATCCATGATTCTTGCATAACCCGCTTATTTTTCAGTGAATTTATAAGAATGTATTTGTGTTAGTGCAATTGCTCACTAATATTTACCTTGAATAGTTGAGCGTGTACACATTTTCTTTATATAAACATATGTACATATTACATGAACTACTATCAAGGGTTTTAAGTGGGTAGATAGGTGGCAGCAGGAGTCATACTCAAGTATTCTATTGATGCGGAGCGATGGGAATGCGATGGCTTTTATTTGCACAAACTTGTTTTTTATAGAGTTATTTGAAAACCCGGTATGCGTTTTTAATGGAAAAATGTTTTCGAAAGGGATCTAATCAAAAACGAATAAAAAAGTGAAGAGAAAACCAACTAAATTCAGATAAAAAAGTTGCCAAAATGAAATAAAACAAAATAAAAAATGCACAAAAAAAAGGAAGAAGAAAACACCACCGCACAAGGAGTTAAAAATGTATGAATTTCAACAGTTGTATAAATTGTATTTTTACAACTGTTGCAAACCGTATATATGCAAGTTCACTTATGTACTTAGATATTTAAGCCAAATATTCACCTTCTTTCTCTCTCGTCTTCGCTTTCCCCACTAACTCTCTGCCCCGTTTATCCCATTTTTCACTTTTACCGAATGAATGAAACGTTTTTTTTTTTTTTTTCTGTTCTGTCTCTGAATGTTGCATTAGAACAAAGAGTTGACTAATATATTGTGGGCTGCATTGATTACCAAAATATTGCATCAAAATCCTTTGAAAATATTAAAGTTTAATATGTTTGTTTATGTTTGTGTGTTGCCCATACTTTTCTTTTTTTTCTATTTTTTTTTTTTTTTTTTTTTTTTTTTTTGAAAGAGTCACCTAAAAATGTTGTTTTCAATTTGTTCTCTTGTCATAGGGGAAGACATATAAATTAATAAACTCTCTTTGCTGTGGTAACTAAGCAACAATTTAGAAAGCTCGTTGTTCGAGAACATAAATGGATGATAAAAAAAAAAAAGAAAAAAAAAAGACGAATAGATAAATAAAAGATATATAACAACAGCAAAAGTACAGCCGTCGTCGAAAAAGGCTGTTGACACCACCTTTGTTTGATTTGTTTGGCTTTTTTTCTCTTGATTCTTCTCTATATGTGATACGGTGTTGTTTGTTGTTTGTTTAAGTTTAGAAACCCTTAGGTGAAATGATATTTTTGCTTACAAAACAAAAAAACCCGAAAACAATGCCTAACAACAGGAATAACAACACAACAAACGATAAGAAAGCATTCCATGCTGATGGCCAGAGAGAGAAAATAAGTTTTAGTTTTTTATTTTTGCTTTTTTTTTTTTTGTTTTTATTTGTAATCATTCCCGCAAGCGTTGAAACATACACATATCCTTATTTTCTAGCTAATGCCACAAAATAATGAAACGACGTGAGGTTGGTGTAAAAAAAAAAAGTTTCCAGAACAATAAGAGAAACTCTAAAAACCGCATAACTTCGGTGTAACAAAAGTTTAGATAAAAAAAGGAAAAAATAATAAAAAAAGTGAAATCATACGATATGAAAAAAGTTTATTATTGATTTGTTTACAAAGCAATACAAGAGCATTTTCTAACGCAACGCCTTAAGAATTTTCAATTACCACAAGCAAATAACTGCAAAAGAAGATGCATAATAATTTATTAGAATAGAGTAACAAGAAAAAAATCGTGCTTCGCCAAGCAAAAAAATTGCTTCCTAGTTACGTTCACAAATAATTAAAATCTCGAGCCTGGCTACGAGCGTTTACTATTAAATATCAAAGGGAAAGATAATACAAATTTTTATTAAAATTTTTTTTTTTTAATAATTTTTATACCCTACACCAGCTGTGATACAAGGATATATTAAGTGTGTCCGGGTATATGCAATCACACCCGCAAGGACTTGAGATAGGTTCACCTCATCGTCTCGGTTTCTATGTAACTGCTCGGTATAACTTGTTGGAGTCGAAGCTTGGAACTTGTTTTAGTCTAGTTTATCGTTTGCATGGCACGTCGTTGGATATGAGAAATGACGTAGAGGCGGGAGGACTATCACATTGCAAGTCAGATTAAATGGTGTATCGATTGGCGGCGACAATCTCTTCGAAGTTAGGTTAGGTAGAAATGGGAATTGCCTTTTCCTTTTCTTCCCGATCGGACTGGCGGTACGTTCAGGTCATGAAGTAAAAGTAATCAGAAATAATCCAAGTGCAAATAATTGAAATGAAGGAGCCGTAAAGATAATGTAAGTGTAATAATAAACTGA